CCGAGGTTTATATGATATGTCTAACTTTGAAAGTTTAACGGCCCAGTTGATTATCCTTCATGCTAAGTCCGACTTATGTAGTACTTGTCTAATGGGCTGATTGGTTCTCATGACCACTCGATGTCCTTGAAAATAAGTTCGGAGCCTTCTTGTCGTGGTAAGTAAGGCGAATGCCACCTTTTCGAACTTTTGATATCGGAGCTCAGGTCGTTGCAGTTTTTTCCCTACAAAGTACACCAACTGTTGTCCCTTATCTGTCTCCATTACTAGGGCGACACTAATGGCTTCTTCCTCCATGGAGAGGTACAAGATCAACGTCTCTCTGAGTTCCGGCTTTGACAACACAGGTGGGGATGCTAGGCACTTTTTTATTTCTTCGAATGCCCTTTTGCAGTCTTCCCCCATCCAAACTCTGCCTCCTTTTTCAGGAGCTTAAAGAAAGGAAGAGATTTTTCTGCCGACCTTGGCAAAAACCTGGTTAAGTCCGCTAGACGACCTGTCAACTACTGGATTTCTTTTTCGTTCTCTGGTTCTTTGATTTCCAAGATGACCTTGCATTAGTCGGGGTTAACTTCAATCCCCCTATTGGCGAGCATGAAGCCCAAGAACTTCCCAGCCGGCACCCCAAAAGCACACTTGGCTGGGTTTAGTCTGATTCTCCGAGCTCTTAATTGCTCGAAGGTCTCTTTCAGGTAGGCCACGTGTCTAGCTATATGCGTGAATTTGATGATCATGTCGTCAATGTATACCTCTAAGTTCCTTCCGATTTGATTCTGGAAGACACGGTTCATCATTCTCTGATAGGTTGCCCCAGCGTTCTTGAGTCCAAAAGGCATAACATTGTACCAGAAGTTTCCCTTTTCAGATATGAAAGCAGTCTTCTCATGATCATCCGAATGCAGTGGAATTTGATTGTACCCAGAGTACACATCCATGAATGATAATAGCTGAAATCCTGATGAATTATCAACTAGCTGATCTATATTAGGCATTGGATATGAATCCTTTGGGCAGACCTTGTTGAGGTCGGTGTAGTCCACACAAATCCTCCACTTCCCGCTAGGTTTTCTTCACCATCACAATGTTGAAGAGCCATGTGGTGTATTGTATTTCTCTGATGAACCCAGCCTCTAATAACTCGTCCACATGGTCATTCAGTGCCTGACGTCGGTCAGGGCCCATTTTTCTTTTCTTTTCGGAAACTGGTTTTGACCCGGGTACATAGAAAGCTTGTGACAACAGAAAGTTTGATCTATCCCAAGTATCTCTGATGCCTTCCATGAAAATACGTCAGAATTCTCGTTTAGAAATGAGGTTAGTGACTTTTTCAACTCGGCGTCCAGGCCTTTTCTGACCTTGGTATGAGGTTTGCCGTCCTCCCCAATGCTAATATCTTCCAACTCTCCTTGGGGCTCTGGACAAGGTCCTTGAAGCTCCTCCTCATGTCTAACTCGACTAGATTTACTTGGTTTTCACATGGGTACACCGATTGGTCTCTAATGGAGACTTTATCCCCATTTTTAATTCTAGGAGGAGATGACGGTCCTCCATGGACAATTCTCATTGTCTCATAGTAGTATTCTCTGGACTCCTTCTGATCTTCTCTTATGGTGATGACCTCATTTTCTGACCCCATCATCTTCAATGCTTGTTGTTTGGTGGAAACTAACATATCCCACTCATGGATCGTAGGCCGGCCAATAATCACGTTGTAGGAGGATGGTGCATCTACTACTATGAACCGAACTCTGCCAGCCCAGAACGCTTCTTTTGTTCCAAAAGCCAGCTTGAAGTCTATATAGCCTTTTGGTGGAGACGGTTCTCCATTGAAGCTGATTAGCTCGGTGATGCATGGTCTCAGATCTTGCTCATCCAAATTCATTTTTTGGAAAGCACTCCAAAAGAGTATGTCAGCCGAGCTCCCGTGATCGAGGAAGATCTTTTTGACCCAGCAGTTAACTAGCACCCCGGTAATTACTAAACCATCAGTATGTCCAGGAACGACCATTTCTAGGTCCTCTTCAGTGAAGAACAACTTTGGGGGGGGGGGGGGCAGACCTACTAGTTCTTCCTTTAAAGGTTGGTCTGTCTCTAACCGACATGACTTCCTTCAGGTATTTTCTCCTAGCATTTGCAGTGTCGCATCCTCCTCCCAAAGCTCCGCTTATCACATTGCATTCAAAATCGGCCTCTTGGAACTCCTCGTCCTTATCTTCGACCTTCTTTTCCTTTGGTGGGCGGTCTTGTTCACAACCTTTCATATCATCCTTCCTCGGGCTATGGCTCCTGCTCTGGATTCTCTGCCTTCGCTTGTTATTTTTCTTGCCCTGAGTTCGGATGAGGTATTGCTTCAACTTTCCTTCTCTGATATGCTTCTCAATGGCATCTCAGAGATCCTAACAATCATTCGTAGTGTAGCCATTCTGGTCATGAAAAGCACAATACTTATTTCTTTCCAGGCCACCCTTGCTTCTGAGAGTTCGAGGCCTTTCGACGTTACACATCTCGGTTTGAGCCACTTCTTTCTATATCCGTGATCTGGACATGTTTAATGGTGCATAACTGTCATACTTAGTCCTCGGAGAGCGTTCGCCCGACCTCTTGTCATGAGATTCGACTCCCTTCTTTGATCCTCGCTGATCTCTATCCTTATTCTTCTTGCTTGGACTCCGGCGATTCGGGCTTCGCCCCCTGGATTCTCCATAAGCCCTCTGCATGTCTTCAATGTCGATATATTTATCCGACCTTCGTCGAAATTCCTCCAGATCGTTGACCAGGTTCTTAAATGGATTTTACGAGTGGAGAGTCGCCATCTAATCTTGAGATGATTAAGTGCAGGTGGACTGGCTTAGTTAGGTTTCGTACTTTGAGGGCTGCATCCTTAAATCGATCGAGGTACTTTCGTAGTGATTCATTCTCCTTTTTCCGGATTCTTCCTAGAGCATAGGCCGACATGGGATGAGCTTTACTGGTGGCGAAGTTCAGGCAGAAAGTTCAAGCCAGGTCCTCAAATGAATCAATTGAGTTCTTGGGGAGCCTTGTTATCCACGCCATTACCTGACCTGTCAAGGTCGTAGCAAAAATTCTGGCCTTAATAGGTCCAGTTATCCGGTTGAATAACATCTCGATCTTGAACGCCTCCAGATGGGCTTCTGGATCTTGACTTCCGTCATATAGGGGTATCTTGGCACTTTAAATCTCAGCGGAATTGCCAAGTTCATGAGTCTCTCAATAAACGGGCTATCATTAGCTTCTTCATCAAGGAGATAATTATCTCTTTGGTTGTTGCCCTGTCCTCCGCCTTCATGCTAGTTGTCATGACGAGGATGTTGGACATTTTCAGTTGCCGGGTTTCGGCGTTATGGCCCTTCAGTTTGAGCTGGGCCTGCTCTTCCAGCTCGACCTTCATTGTTTTGGTTTCGCAGCTTGGCTTCCAATGCCTCCATCCTCTGGGCGTTCAGCCTTTGTTGAGCCAGGAACCTGTTCTCCATCTCTTACGTCCTTTGAAGGATAGCGTTCATGGCTGCATTAACCATGTGATCCTCACCTCTGGGCTGATCATTCTGCGGAGGCGGGCATGCAGACTTTGCCGTCGGGTTGCCTTGGGTCATGAAGGGTGGTTGCTCTATGCCGACCTCTCCGACCTGCACCTCCACCAAAACCGGATCTGAAATTGACTGGAGATATCCTAAGGCAGACTGGTGCGGCGGCGGTCAGGTTTGAGCATTGCTAGACGTCGAACGAGTGTTCGTCATCGTGGAATGGGAATCGAAATTTATCGTTCCCTACAGACGGCGCCAATGTTAGGTCCTAGAAGACCGTATTGCTATACCTTATGGTATGCTCTCAGAGATACCCTAGAGATAGGTACCTTGGTAGGCTTTTCCAGTATCCCAATATGCTTATAGCCAAGACGTAGGTGTGTGCACAATGTTGGCAATAATAGTAAATAGGTCAAAAAGTGTGTACCTGGGGTCTTTAGCCTCTTATTTATAAGGATTACCTTTACAAGCTTGGGCCTTTGAGATCTCCCAGTTATAGTAGGATTCAACTTTCCTTTAGTTGGGATAAGGTCTTTATCCTGAGTATTTCTGCTGTTTGATATTGTTAGGATACTTGGATCCTTATCCTTTAGTGGATTCTTAAGTAGGTAGTTAGGATATGATATATATCCATCACAAAACCCAAATGAATTAAGGAAAATCTACTTTAAAAAAGAAGGAAAAATAGGTTTATCACCTGCTGTGTTATATATAGACCGAAACCAATATAAATAAAAAGGATGATTATATTAATAATATTTTCTATAAACTTACAAAGAGTTTGATTTTTCTGCGGTTACTGCAGCAGTAGGTCCAATACGACATTGTTTTGGGGCAGAAATCATGATGTTTTTGTAATTTTAATTTATTTGAGGTTATAATAGTCTTTATATTTATAATTTTTTAAGATTTCAATACCAAAACGATGTCCTTTTGGAAATAAATACAAATAACTTATCTGCAGTAACTGTAGAAATATTTTTTCCACTTACAAATTATATTATATTATAGGAAAATCATTTTCTCATGTTATTGGAGATTGCTTTTTCATGTTGTGAGGCATCTTAATCCGTGCTATCCTCTTTTTATTTTTTTTAACAAGTGGTGGGACCTACCACTTGTTGTATCTATAGCATGAGAGATGTTATCTCATGTCACATGAGAAAAGAGAAATCCTATATTATACTAGTAAGACTTCATTCAAAAATATTTTATCTTAAAATTTATAAGAGTTTATAAATAAAAAATTTATAAATATCCGTAAACAAATATGGGTTGACTAGTCGGTGAAATTTATTTTGCAAAACACAGTTGTGCCTCTTGCAAAAATGATCCCTTTTTTTATTACTTCGTAGTTAGTAACTAGATTTCCTCGTACTTGGGCTCAAACAATTTTTATATAAAGAGAACATACCACAAACCATATCATCCTAGAAAACATCACCTAAGAAGATTAATATGGATTATTTTATCGTCCCCTTGTTCTTCCTCTCTCTCATCTCTCTCCAACACCCCATTTCTGCATCAAATTTCCATAAAATCAAGCAACTCGAATCAGATTTTCTTGATCAACCCACATCCTCTGGTGATGGCACTCCACCACCAACTGAGTACTTTGAGGTAACAAGACCCATTGAACTCCCCAAAACAAAACCTTGTTCATACCATGTGCTCAACCATGATTTTGGCTACACATATGGCAAACCACCAGTTCTTGCTAATTACACCCCTCCCACTCATTGCCCATCTCAATGGTTCTCCAAGATTGTACTTGAGTGGAATGCAACTTGTAAAGGAAGGCAATTTGATCGCATCTTTGGTGTTTGGCTTGGTGGAGTTGAGTTACTCAGGAGTTGCACAGCAGAGCCAAGGCCCAATGGGATTTTTTGGACTGTTCAAAAGGACATCACAAGGTACCATTCTCTGTTATTGAGTGACCAAACTCTTGCTGTTTATTTGGGAAATCTTGTTGACAAAACTTACACTGGGGTTTACCATGTTGATATCACTATTCACTTTTACCCTTCTGTGAAGACTCTTAGTTTTGATGAGTCAAATTCTAGAGCTTTAGCATTTGGGAATGATTTTCCTGCGGATTTGATCCTGCCCATTTCAAGAAATCTTCCACTGAATAGTGGGTTGTGGTTTGAAATTCAAAATTCTACTGATTTGGGTTTTAAGGAATTCAAGATTCCCCAAAATGCTTACAGGGCTGTGTTAGAGGTTTATGTTTCATTTCATGAGAATGATGAGTTTTGGTATACAAATCCTCCTGATGAATATCTTTTTGCAAACAACCTTACTGATACACCTGGGAATGGACCATTTAGGGAGGTTGTGGTTACTCTTGATGGGAACGTTGTTGGTTCAGTTTGGCCTTTTACTGTGATTTATACAGGAGGGGTCAATCCCCTCTTGTGGAGACCCATTACTGGGATTGGCTCATTTGATCTTCCAACCTATGATATTGAGATTACACCGTTTTTGGGGACTATATTGGATGGGAAGTCACATTCGTTAGGGTTCAGTGTGACAAATGGCTTGAATGTTTGGTTTATAGATGCAAATTTACATCTTTGGTTGGATAGAAAGAGCAGTAGAACAGAAGGAGAACTCGTGATTCAGAGTGACAAACCTTTGGCTGAATATCTAGTATCTGACTTTACAGGTTTGAATGGAACATTTTGGACTAGTGCAAAGAGGTCCATTTTTTCTAGTGGATGGGTGAGATCCTCCTATGGTAATATCACAACCAGTTTATTTCAAGATTTCGTTTATAACAATTCAATGGTGATGGGGAACAATGGGAATAAGCAAATTGTGAATCAAGTAATTTTTTTCAATGACAGTGTTCATGCTAAACTTCCATCACCCTTTGTTGATTTTATTGATGAAAACTACAGAAAATTTTCCCTATTCTCGGACTCAGATGAACTGGATCAGCATAATCATACTTATTTATCAGTTGCAAATGTTACATTGGGATTTGATGAGAACAAATCTGAGAGCGCAGCTTTTGGATTTTTGAAGAGCTCTCTCAAAAATGTGCAGGTTGGCCATGGTACTATGGTTGTTAAAAATAATTTGGTTGTTAGCGGATTGGGTGAAACACAGCAAGATTACAGATATACAAGCCATGGAAATTGCTATTCTAGGAAAGTTGGCAGCTCTAATTACACTATTCTCTATGATAAAGTCATAAATTCATGCAACAAAAGAAGTCACTCTCATCTTGGCCTTAATTTTATCAAAAAGTTGCCCATTATGCTCTAGGGTCCTTTCTTACAAGAACAGAGAAGTTAACTCTCCCCTGCTTAGTTCTACAAGTCCTTTCTTTCTATAAAGTTTTCCCTTTCTAGCTCCAATTGTGGAGATTAGTTCTATGCTGGCTGTGTCAAACTGTTATATTTGGAAACTCAGATTTGTGAGTCTATGTAGGTCTTTTTTTCCAAATTATTTGAACATGTAATCGAACATGGTTAGTTTTATTACCTTTTGCATGCCTACAAAGTTTGTGCTTGAGTAGTTATGCATCAACACACTTATCGTATTTAGTGTTCTTGAATTAAAACAAAAATATGGTGGCCTTTACCCCCATAACAGGTTTTTTTGGAATCATATCTAAGTGATAGCAGTAAAGGATTTTGGTTAACCTGATAACATTGGTGGATTTCATTTTATTTCACCAGGTTGATGAGTCATATGCTTCACTAGTTCACTTCTCCTTTTGTTAAATATTAGTATGAGTGCCTGTAAAGGGATACTAGTGTAGGGAAAACAGAGATTTGCTTATTTTGTGCTCAAGAAGCACGTTTAAGTTTGAACGAACTGCTGACCTAGTAAATGTAAATTTTATGCTACTATTACAGAACCAAATGAAGAGGAATTTAGAAGCTATTTGCTTAAGGTTGTTTACATGTAACATTTTAGAAGCTACGCAAAGAATTTTATATCAATTGTGAAAGCAACTTGTAAAATAACGCATGAGTGCAAAATAATGTTTCATTACAAGTTCAAATTTAGGCCATACAAAACTAACCAAATTTCAACAGTCAGGGAAAATGAAAACAGAATGCACAAAGTCAAATTACATCGTAGATTACAATTTGACAGCCTTTCTTTAACACAACTGGGAATAATTTAGGCCATTATAATTCATAAGGTTTGAGTTAGTGAGCAAAGAGATTCTTACTTTTGAAGTTGACTGCTCTGATCACTCATTAGGAACTGGCAGCAATTCTTCGAACTAGAATCGGGAACGATTGGGGCACTCAAACTGTAAAATTTTAACACCATAAACTATATTTGTAGAGCTTGCTAAAGACACCTATTTCATGATTTTTTGATAAGTAACTTGTGAGATATAAATTTCCGAAGTGGGCTGTACAAATCTGCCCAAAAAAGGGCATAAAGCGTTCAAGTTATAAATCATTTTGAGTGTAAGGCTATTTAAGTTTGTTCTTTTCTAAGTAAGAGTCCCCTATTATATATGCCCAAAATTCATTATCTGCCTCAGATGCACTTGTGGCTTACCTCAAAGATCAAATACTTAAGGTGTGTGGTTCAACTAATATTTTAGTTCACGGTAAATGTAATTATCAGGGATTTACAGGAAAAGTGAATTAGATAGGAAAGTTAAAAAAAAATTATTTAGTTGGGCCAAATATTACCAGGCAAATTGATTACAGTTTTTGAAACTTATGTTTGGTTGAGAATAAAATATTGATGGGTAAATGGTATAAAATTACAAATATAACCCCATAAAGAAAGTGAAACCTTAGCACTTTAGATGAGGGTATTTAAGTCTACTAGTGGGTTGCTCTTTTGCCATTTAGCTAGCTAAATGTAAAATACCACCCTCAAGTTGTCTTTACAAATAGTAACTTTTGCTTGTTTTCTATGAACAGATAAGGAATGCTATGCTAGGGAAATTTTGTAAAACTGTCTATCAAACATTGCTTTCTTACTTTGCCAATTTGATTTGCTTAAGTAAGTTTTAAGAAATCTTCAACCAAAGAGCACCTAAATTTCTCCAAGTAATTACTAGTTCCTTCCCTTATGCTTAGAAGGTCACATTTGCACAAGGCAAGCATCATAGGAGATTCAAGATGTAATACTGGAAGGTATGTCAAGGATTTAGATTTTAAGAATAGGGAATATTTGGTAGAAGAGAGATTTTTTTTATTCGGGAATCACGATTCCCGGAAATATGATGGAAAAGTGAGTTTTTCGAGGATATTACTAAAAAATTATTTGGTAGGTCAAAATATTCTCAAGAATATTGGATTAATTTTCCTTATACTATTTTTGGTTATTTTTTTTTCTGCAAAATCAATTCATATTTTTCCATCCTTTGGAAATTCTGAAATACCATCATCTGGATGGTACTTTTTGGTGGTATTTTAGTTTAGAAAATACACACAATGAAATCCCGAAAAAATAACTTTCTCGGGGAAATTTTCTCCCATGTGCTAGTGATTCTAGGAAATCCACCCTCTCCCCCCCCCCCCCCCCCCCCCCCCCTCTCTAAGAGTTCAATTTCTTACAAAATGATTAAGTCTGTTGAATTTAGTATGGGAACAGGTCTTAGATTTGTAAGCCACATATGATCCAAATTAATAAGTTTTATACAACATGAAATCAAAACCTTCATCACAATTGATACCAACGATTGCAAAACATTACTAACTAAGACAACAACAATGTTTTAGTATATATCATCAGTCGACAAAGTGTTATTACATAACCGTGGATCCAATATTCCACTCCAAAATACGTAAAGCTTCACTTTTATCATGAATTCACATAACATATCATAATTTCGTTCAGTAAGCTAAGTAGCATCAATTCAATTAACCGGTGCTCCATCGATTCTGGTCAGCTTCTTTATCATTAGGTCCTGAAATGTTTAAGCCCCACCAGGGGTGAGATTTGCATCCTAATAAAATGGAAAACCTATAGACTATAGTCCTTCCATGGACCAGTTGTTAAGAATTGGGTGGTGCGTTTGGTTATTCCAATAGAGAGATAGCCGTCACACTGATGTGTGTTGGCTAGGGTTTCAACGGAGAAAATTAGAGAAGAAAGTTACAAAAAATAAGGAAGAAGAGGGGCTATATATATATATATATATATATATATATATATATATATATATATATATAGGAAAACATTTTCTCATGTTGTGAGAGAGTTGTTTTTTCCTACTAGTGACCCTTCGAACTTGGCCCAATATGTTGGCTTTTCCAACTTAGGCCCATTATGCCTTATTGGGCCCAAACCACATATGCTAGAATTCAAGAAAACTTGGTGTTTGTGTGCGACCCATCAGGCCCAACATAGCCACTGACATAAATGGGTTTGGGCCCATTAGGCCCAATCCATCTAATGACAACACAGAACACTAGCAATGTTTTGTTGTCCAGAGCTAGTTGAGTTCATCGAATGATCAACCTGTTATACCTATTTGGTTACCGTGTGAATTGTCGATACGTCTCGGTTATCTGTCCCATTGACCTAGGTCAAGGAAAACGTATCAACCCATGCGGTCTAGGGTTAGCTTTTGCCGAAACAGGGAATCTTCATTTACAGACTCTAAAGAGCGGCTATCTCATGACTCCTTTACTATGCATAGATTCTCGAGTCCCGTAAATGTCATCCTGGTTTCACTGGTCTACGGATAACCTCATCTCTCACAGAGATTGACAAATTCCTTCAGCTTGTCACACTAGCCCTGAGTCCTTAAGGCATGCCCAATAGTATACCTACGAGTCTCCATGTTTCAGGCAGACAAAGTATACAATCAAAGCAAGCCTTCTAGAGCACAGGTCTATATGACAACGTCAGGTCTAAAGAAAGACACACCCAAATAATAAGAGACATTAACAATTATACTATCTGTGAGATTTTCTTGTAGTGTCTCTTTGTGGGTCAATTCAGTGCGAGCTATTCTCCAATAGGTCCACCCACGAGTCAACTAAGACATCTCCATGTCTTAGCTCACGAGGACTCTACCTTGCATCTCCATGCAAGTAGATGAGTCGTGCTAGTCTTACCCGAGATCACCAATGCCCATTATCGGTATCTCTAGACTAGGAACATATTTCTGACAATGAACGTGTAGTGTCATTGAGCCCTCATGATCGTGATCCCTATCACAAATCCTCAATGTGACAATCGTTCCATTGCAAGGGTTTTATCCAGTTACTCATATTCAATATTTGAGACATGTAATATGATACAAGATAAAGAATGCTTTTATTCATAAAATTTATTCATAACAAATAAAAAGAACATGGGTCCATCTGACTCTCAGATTGTCTCTAGGACACCTATGTATTAACAATATCCCAATTGGCCTAGAGCCAATCTGACCGAAATCTATATCCTAAAGCCTCATAATGACTATCATGTTTTCGCTGAGAAATTCCTTTTTTCAGAGAATCGCTAGGTTATCATCTATAGGAACATAGTCCATCTTTACATCCATCTTATCAATGATTTCTCTAATCAGGTGATATCTATGGAGCACGTGTTATGATCTTTAATGAGACCCAGGTTCTTTTGCCTGCGCAATAGTACCATTGTTGTCACAATACAACTGTATGTGCTCACTAACGCTGGGAACCACCGCAAGTTCAGTGATGAACTTCTTGATCCACACCGCCTCCTTAGCTGTTTCTGAAGCCGCTATATATTCAGCCTATGTCGTTGAATCTGCTGTAGTGTCCTATTTGGAACTCTTCCAAGTCAGTACTCCACCATTTAAGGTGAATACGAACCCTGATTGTGATTTGCAATCATCTTTGTCACTTTAGAAGCTAGCATCAGTGAACCCTTTCACTGCTAGCTCATCAACTCCATCATAAACCAGATATATATCCTTAGTCCTTCTTAAGTACTTGAGGATTGTTTTGATTGCTGTCCAGTGACCTTTTGCAGGTCTTCCTGGCACCTGCTCGTTATGGTTAAAGCATAAGAGACATTTGGTCTTGTATAGATCATGGCATACATGATGGATCTGATAGCTGAAGCGTATGGTATCTCACTCATGCGATCATTCTTTTATTGCGCCTTAGGACTCATAGCCTTAGAAAGGTGCACGCCATGATTGATAGGAAGAAAACCCCTTTTCGACCCTTCCATACTAAATCTCCTTAGTATTTTGTCAATGTATGTAGATTGGGATAATCCAGTAGCCTCTTAGTTCTATCTCTATAGATCTTTATACCAGTATATAGGCCACCTCTCCCAAATCTTTCATGTGAAGCTTTCAGAAAGTAACTCTTTAACTGTTTAAAGTATAGTGAAGTCATTCCCTATCAGCAATATGTCATCCACATAAAGCACCAAGAAAATAACATTGCTCCCACTAACCTTAATGTAAACACAAGACTCATCCTTGTTCTTGATGAAACCGTTACTGTTAACAACCTCATCAAAACGACTGTTCCAACTCTGTAATGCTTGCTTTAGCCTATATATTGACCTTTGAAGTTTGCATACTATATACTTCTG